TATATTTTGATTATCCTTAATTTACATCATTTAATACTCCAGTATCTGGGCCTGATATAAGATTCAATACAAATGTATCTAATTTAAATGAATTTACATTAGAAAACACAATTACAGTTAGAATAAAAACAGGTGGAATTTTAAATGTTTAATCATTTCATTATGATATTCCATAAGCTAAATAAATAAATTTTACAAAAATCATTAGTTTAAATAATGATGATTCTAAATTTGTTATTATAATGTAAGAGTCAATAACTAAAGATATTATTGTATATATTTGTACAACAACATCATCCTATCATAACATAGAAGTTGAATCACTATGTATAAATTACCAAAAGCTATCTATTAAAGTATATATAAATAATTACAACTTTTAATGTTTCTTTTAAGAAGATGTACTATTCGTAATTATTGTTAAAATACAAAGACAATTAATATGTATTCCATTTCACAATCAAGTACTGATTTTCAAAGATCTTTTTTATATGATTCCTAATCTATTTTGAATATCGAATTCATAAGTATTATATCAAATAATCTCTATGTCATACTAGGGGATCAATAAATTGATATTTGGAATATTTACACTAAACAATAGTACTAATTATTGTAATATATTCTAAATGAAAGAGTTATCTACTTATGGATACTAAATATAAATTCCATTGGCAATTTCAACTAGCATAAATTCTGGATTATTATATATAATAGCAAGTGATCCAATTATTGGAGAATCTAAAGTAATTCTAAGTTTTAAACCTCGTTCTCCCTTACGTGACTCTTTAATTAGAATCATTAAACCAAAACGTGATTTAAATTAAATCAAAGATACAATGATTTCATCAACAGGATACAATAATTATATTATTTATTTAAATGATGGAATAAATCACAACTTTGAATGGTTAGATTAGATTTATCAATATTAAGTAGTACCATAATATTAAAATACTAAATGGATTAATAAATATAGAATAAATATGATCATGGATAATTTTAGATATAATTACCCATTATCCTTAAGTTAAGCCATTGTTTTATATCAAACTTAATCATACATTAAGTTTTTAGATACAAATAATGATATATCAGCATACAAATGGAGTTTATCAACTATTATTTTAAATGTAACTGGACCAATATCAGATTCTGTAATTTAATGTTAATAATGTGGAATAGATAAGTAGATATAAATTATATAACCTGTATAAATCTATTAAATAGATAACATTACAAATCTAAATGTAAATTATAGATTATTTTTAATTTAAACTCCAGAATAACAAGTTTTGAAATTATATAATAATGAAAATATCTTTATAAAAGATATTATTTTAAGCAATGATATCAAAACTAAATGTGATAGATTCACAATGTATCAACAATATATATTAGTTACATGTAAAACATAATCCATATATGAAATTCTTACAATTTGGTGCACTAATTATAAAACTTGTGGAGATCACATAGCATTTTCAAAATTCAACAATGAAGTTTAATATATCTAATCAATTCATTATTGTAGATAATTAATAATAAGTGGTTCCACTTCTCTAAATTCTTTTGAAAATGATACTTTTATTTAAAATTGCATTGTATCAATTAATTAAACAACTTATAATGTATCCATAACTTGTATTGCTTATAAAACATATAAAGAGCATTTTATTAAAATTTATGGTGGATGTGATACTTATTATTTTGCTTTATCTTTGACAACAGAAGGAATATTAGAGTTCATTAAGGGAGTGATCTTTCACTTACAAAAACAATAGCTTTAAAATAATATGTAACTGAAATCATTTAAACTTAATTTTATGATTTTGAGCCTACAGAAAATATTATATTCTCATAATATGTAGCTACAACAAATCTATTGTTTATTTCTGAATCATTAAACTATAAATTTACATTAGTTTATAATACCTTAACTCTATTATTATAAATATATATAGATTTTAATGGTGCCAATCATCAAAGATTATTAATTAAATGAATAAATTGTTATATTTTTTGTTTAAGTTTTCACAATTTTAGGAATGTGCAATGA